ATCATAAAGAGGCTGCTTCTTGGTGCGTAGCGCAAATTGCTTTACCATTTTCTCTATATAAATATTTAAGAAATTATGTCAACACTGAACGTTAAAAAGCCTGATGAGAAATGATACATCACTATATACTTAGTATAAAACAAATCGCTATTTTGTCACTATATCTCTCTCGATCTCTCGAGTTTATTTCGGTATCAATTCTCAGAAATCAGTTGGGAAGTGACTTACTCATCTTGCTTTATTATAATACCTATGTAAGTACATACTACAAGTTGTATTATATAATTATATGTTTATTGTGCCTCGTTAGGTAGTTGAAATAAAGCTATAGAGAATAATAATAAATATATCTATAGAGAATAATAGGGTTGACCATTTAGAGCTCAATAAGGAGTTTAGTTTTTCGACGAGGCCTTTGACCTTGACTCTGAAATGACTTCTACCGCTTCGAGTGCTGCTAGAAAAACCTCCTCGTTATGACTCCTACTTTGGGCCAGGATCGTGTTTGAGATCGATTGAAAGACTAAACAATACATTAAAAAGTAAGATAAGAAACAATTTGAATCTTATTTTTTTTAATGAATTAAATATTTTGCCCCACTTTCGGATTTTCTCCTGTGTTGTGGGTGCGTTTACAAACATACAATGTCACATACACATGACACCCAGACCCGAAACAACAATTTGTGGATCACACAAAGTGTTGTTCCGTGCGGGAATCGAACCCGCGACACGTTGCACGACAGCCAGTTGCCCAGCCACCGCACCAATCGTGCAGAATGGTCAATTTGTAGAAATGGTCGTTTCTAATCAACCCAAACTCGTTATGATCCCGGCAGCCATTTTGATAAACGACCTACTTTCATAATGCATTCAAAATTATCTAGATACTATATGGCTGAGTAAGTAGATGAATCATGAAAAGTAACAAAAATAAACATATCGTAGAATTTTTGTTAGTGGGAAAAACAACAAACCTGACCTTCACTTTTTGCATTATCTGTAATCCGTGTATTTTTAACCAAGAAAACGGATCATGAGACTAAGATTCCGTAGTAACCGCAGACTCTCCTTTCGAATGATTCATAAGTGACGACTCGCTCGAGTCCGAGTGAGTCACACCAATCAATGCAATTAATTCTTTAAAGAGGCATGCGACAAAATTAATATCTTTTTTATGGGAGGTGGTCATAGCACGAGGATATGAGCATATGTATGACCTGATGGTAAGCAATCGTTGTCGCCAAAGGTGACTCCTAAACAACAGTTAGGTACAACTGTGATGCCGGACTTTTGTAGGCTGGTTTAGGGATTTAAGGGTATGGAATGGTGGGTGGAGTAGAGAGAATGGGGAATTACAACTTTAGTGTTGTCTCACGTCTGTGTTCCGGTCAAGATTCGTGCTGATTGCAAAAAACTTATCTCACAAAGATAACAAACAGATAATTTATATTATTTGTGTTGATAAATGTTGTTAATGTTGCTATAGTTTCGAACACATATCCAGTGCCAGTTACTAGCTACTATTGCGCGGTTTCACCCGCTGCTCAACTCCTACAGATCGTAGCGTGATGTTTTATAGCCTATAGCACTCAGGAATATTGTAGCTATCTATCGGTGAAAGAATTTTGGAAATCCGACCAGCGGTTCCAAAGGTTACCCCCTACATACAATTTTTACCTCTTTATAATATTAGTATAGATATAGTCGGTATATGGGCTTTTTGTTTCTTAGAATTTTTAAGGATATATTATTACGTAGTTATAAATGTAACCCTCTGAATGACTCGATGTTTGCACTAAACGTTAGGAGACTTTGTAATGCTAAAAATATTTAAAAGTCATCATACAAAATATGTTCTAAATAAAAAACTATTGGAATTTTTCCTTTACTGAGACGCAATAACTGAAATTAATTATGAATAACAAATCTGTTATTTCAAATATTTATGGATGTTGGTATGCAGGTAAAAATATAAACATTAACTCAGTATCAAGACAGTAGCTATTGGTAGATTTAAACTGGGAAGGAAGGGAAGGGGTATGGTTTAGGTTAGGTTATGGTTAGGGTTATGGGGTGAGCGTCTCAAAGAGCCAGTAGACCACCACAGACGGGGCCTATTAGGGCCGATGTCTTGCTGGGGTTTCGAGCGAAAATGCAATAATTTACTGCGACCCCAACCCGAAGCGAGAGAAGAAAAGCTGTGCTTGTTAGTCAAACATTCTGACGCGACAGCATCATAATTATTCCCCAGGTAACTTTTATCTAACCATTACAAAATCAGCCCTTAATTTAATACCTACTTCTCAATTCTCTAACCTTTTTTCATTAAAAATCTATTTCATTTAAATTAAAAACCAAAGAAAACATGACATCACACAATCTCGTATTTATAAAACTGACAGACAACAGTTGGTTTTGAAAAAAATCGAAAAAAGAATCTGACTAGTGTTGCCAATTAATCAATTATTTGCCTGGTAAATGTTTAGTGACACTCAATCTGTCGTGAAATGACCACGTGAATGGAATAAAGCCATTATCATTATGATTCAACACATGTACTCACAAGTACTACAAGTTTATTTAGACTATAAAATGGCAGTTCAATGACCTACAATTAATTAAAATTTAATCCATCTAAAACATGAAATTATATGCACGGTGCGTCACTGTTTGTGTGTGTAGTATGCATGAGTATTTACACACCTTAAAGATTCGACAATGAAAAAATGTAAACGAAGTTTGCTAATTACTTTTTAATTTCGTGTGTGTGTGTGTGTGGTTCAGCCGGGATTGCGGGATAAGCGCAACCATATTTCACGCCGGTACTTTGTGTGGCCGTGATATCACTCCGGTCGAACCGTCACATTTGCTGCAGCATATCTTTCCCACACATAACATCTGATACGGTGGAGCATACGGTAGCGGTATGCCCTGCCTGGGCTGAGCACCGCCGTATCCTCAGGGAAGTGTTCGGCGGCGGCGACCTCTCGCGCCCGGCCTTAGTTGAGGCCATGGTGCGGAGTGAGAGGAACTTGCACGCCGTCTCCTCCTTTTGTGAAGCAGTCATGCTCGCAAAGAGAGAGGCCCGCGTGAGGGAGCAATCATCCTCCTCACGCCCCAGCAGCCGCAACTGGCGACACTACGGGCGTCGGGGATCGAGGGACGATCTCCGGCCACCGTAAGCACGGGCCTGCGGTCGGCGAGTAAGGGCATCTCGCCGCCCGACCAGAACCAGGCCCGAGCGTACGGCGCGTAGCGTTCCGCGCGCGCCTCAAAGAGCCATTAGACCACCACAGACGGGGCCCTAAAGGGCTAATGTTCAGCCGGGGTTGCGGGGTAAGCGCAATGAGGCACCGCGACCTCGGCACAGAGCAGGAGAAGGAACAGGGGGGTTTTTAGTCAGTAAGAGTCTGACACTCCCTCCCGCCCGGCCCTGGGAGGGAGAAGTCATTCGATGATTTTCCCCTCACGAAAAAAAAAACACATAACATCTATACTATCTATACTAATAGATATGGTATTATAAAGAGGAAAGGTTTTATTGTTTGTTTGTTTGTCTCGAATAGGCTCCGAAACTATAGCACCAATTTGAAAAAACTCTTTCAACGTTGGAAGGCTTAACTTTCCCTGAGTAACATAGACAATATTTAGTTTAAAAAAATACAGAATATTACTAAAACTCGCGTTGTTAATCGCGTGCGAAAACTATTGAAGATATAAAAAGTATTGTACATTTTTTTTAATTAGACGCATAACTGTAATTTCATCTGTATCTGGAAATGTCATGTTGAGGGTCCGTGCGATGCCGCGACGGGCAGCTATTCATCATTGGCGCCGTCGCGGCGTCTACGTCCGATACCTTGAAACGAAAAGCTGACTGTGTGTCAATTCTGATGAAGTAACTGTAGTACCGTACGTTCTTTGGATAGGTCATCGCTAAGTTTACTTTTATGACCCAATAATGAATAACTGAGCCTCCAATAACTTAACTCACATAGCGAAACACAATGCTGAGTTTCTATCACGCTGGTTTTCTGTGAGGCCGTGGTGGCTCTCCAGTCGAGCCGACCTACTCTTTTTTTTAACAAAACCTTTGCCCCGCATTAGTATTTTCTCCTGTGTCGTGAGTGTGTTTACAAACATAAAATTTGACATGCACATTACGCCCAAACTCGAAACACCAAACTAGTAACGAGTGCGTTGCCGGCCTTTTGGGGATTGGGGTTGCGGTTATAAGGATTGGGAAGGGATAGGGGAAGGGGAGGGATTGGGCCTCCAGTAACCTCACTCACACGGCGAAACACAACGCTGACTTGCTATTGTTCTCAAATTTTTATATATTTTTTTTTATCAATAACTTATTCTGTTTTAACAGGGTTTTCCCTAATGCGATAGATAAAAGACCTTAAACAAAAACTTAGACTAAAATAAATTTTATACACACAATTGAAACAAACTTACAAAACTATTAAACAATTAAATTAAGACGAAAAGCGAGACCAAACTATTTTATACATACTTACGTAAATACTTATTTCACTATTTTCACTTATTACATTACGTTAACACAGAAATTTGTAGATAAGCGCTTTAATATTCATAACATCATCATCATCATCATCATCATCAGCCTATAAGTGCCCACTGCTGAGCAAAGGCCTCTTCTCATAAGGAGAAGATTAGAGCATTAATCGCCACGCTTGCTCAATGCGGGTTGGCAATTTCAAACTTATAATTAGAAATTATAAGTCCAGGTTTCCTCACGATGTTTACCTTCACCCTTTGTCAGTGGTGTCTAAATAATCATAGAAAGTACATATAACTCGGAAAAAGTCTCATTGGTACTTGCCAGGTTTTGAGCCCACACCCTCATGCATGAGAAGCAGGCTGCTTAAACTCTGTGTCACCACGACACGCTTTATTATTAATATATTACAAATTATTTCACTTGTGGCATAATAATTATTCAGTAATAACCAGTAATCATTTGTTCACAGGGCTGGTATAAACGCAGGCACTTCAATGACAGAAGCTGTGGAATGGTATACGAATGCTAACGCTGCTCTGCTCAGCCACCTCACGAAGGAGATCAAAGATACAGATAGCAGTACAATATGGAGGTATGTATTATTTCGAATAAAAAGAAAAAGATATAAAAACAAATATTCTGACACACAACAATTGGAAAATCCCAGGATGATACAATAATTAGAATTGTGTTGAATTCGGATTTGTAGATTTTATTAAAGAGTTTGTTACAAGTCGACTTACAAGCTTTGTTGCGGTTGCATTGTAAGTCATCAAATTACTTTTTCCAAAGTGTATGAGGCAAGCAGGAGAGTCAGACTGACCAAAAGCCACCCTATTCCGATCTACTTTACAATTTTTATAGTGCAATTGCTTTATTAAGTACCTTATTAAAAACACTTCTTAATATTGTACGTAATAAATATCGAATCATATATTCTTCATCTTCATAACTACTTGCTGTTGTGGTTGTCCATAAGCAGCGCCGAATGCTATTACCATCAGATCTACTGAAACTAGCAGATGAATCTTCACCTGCTTCAATTCTTTCGGCATTTCTTCTCAGAGTAGTCTAGGAAATGCCGGCTTCATCTAGTTATTCACATATAATTTGACGTGTAAAAGTGCCGTTATATGACCTATTTGCAAAAATAAATTCATTGTTTCATTGCCCCCGTCTTTGGTGGTCTTTTAGCTCGTCATCCTCAGACCCGCGATTACGACGGCCGAAGATCGCTGCTCGATCCTCAACGCCCAGAGTCTCGCCTACTGCGGTGGCTGGGGCATGACAAGGAGGATGTCTTTGTCACGCGCTCCGCCTCCATCTTTGAGAGCATAACTACTTCACAGAAAGAGGAGATGACTTCCCTGTTCCTCTTGCTCCTCACCTTTGCCTTGACTAAGGCCCGACGCGAGCGGTCGCAGCCCCCTCACTTCCCTGAGGACACGGCAGCGAAGGATAAATACCTGAACCTAAAACAGCAATTCCTAATTATATATATATATAGTAATGTGCAACTGAGCAAAAAGTCATATGAAAGTGAATAAGACACGTCGGAGGCGCTAGCGTCCGAGTATGACTATGTCCGAGTGACTCATAAAGAAGGTCGGGCAACGACTTATGAAGGCTTCGTTGAAAACGAGTTACCTTGAGAATGCAAAACTACTACTAACATATTTGTTTTTTGTTGGTTCCACTCTCTTATAGATTTTATGATTATAGATAGGATTAAGTGGAATTAATTCCTTTGTGAAACTGTCTTCTGCTCTAACAAAATGTTTTGTTGAATATCATGTAGGTTTACAATATATGTATTTATTCGGTAGAACACCAATTTCTTCATGACTAATAAATAAAAGCACCTTTTAATTTGACCTATTTTTCTTTCAAAATTCCGCCAATTGTTAGATGTAACACCTAGGTCTAAGGCACCCTCTACTGGCTTCCTAAACCATAATCACTAGATATAGGACAATCTAAGTAATTTAATTGTTTGTTCTTCTTCTATATGTAAATACGTTTAATTAGAATGCAGAACTCAAATGAAAATAATCAAAATTTGATTAAAAGATTGATTTATTATTACGAATAATTAATAGATTCTGAAATGGGTTAGTTGTATTTGCGATACTACTGTTACTAAAATGATTAACTTCTTTTTTAATCTACTCGTACTAAACATCATAAGCCTTCTGCTGTACAAAGGTCTCTTTTCAAGCATTTTGAATTCATTTATCAAAACAAGCAGTGACGAGACAAATTTATTAAATTAAATAATTATATCTGTTTAATTATAATTGAATAATGACAAAGGATACGTTACTAATGTAGAATCATTATTTGGTGGACGGCGTACGACATACTGACTACATAAAATAATGACTCATTGTTTCTTCGGAAACATAACTATTAGACTGCCAATTGAACAGATTATAAATGTTGATATCAACTGACATAATATTATGAGGCACTTATAGTATGTTATATTTGCTTCAAATTGAAGCTCTACGAGTCTTTTTCTTTATTCATCTTCAGCCTACAAGTCCCACTGATGAGAAAAGACCTCTTCTCACATGGAGACGGTTTCGGGTTCGGGTGCATGAGAAACGGGCGGCTTAATCTTCGGGACACCACGTTAGAATGATACGACACTGTTATTTACAAATACTGTTGTATATAAATTCATATATAATAAAACAGAAATAACTATACTTAATTCTCGACCCTCGATTCTCGAATGTTTGAACTATAGTGTTAGTAGTTAGCGTTAGTGGGTTGCAAGTTCCATTGTTAACAATGGAACTTGCAACCCACTAACGCTACATATGCATACCATATAACCATATAAACTATGTTTTTTCAATAACATGTAACTATTTTTTGTTACAAATAAATAAATAAAATTAAATAAGTCACAAGATGATAGACCAAGCACAAAAAAAAACAATATTCCAAATCATCTCTCGTCTATCTTTGTCCCAAATTTCATTTAAATCTACTCAGTAGTTTTTGTCTGTAACACAAACAAACATACACACGCACTCTCAAATACCCACATTTTATTATAGAAGACCATTTTTCGAAGAATTTACTAATGATTATTACATTGCCAACAAATGTTTTTATACAAATAAAAGGAATATGAGTTGTTTTATTAATTTGATTGGGAAATACCATACCTTTTTATCTGAACTCACTGCAGCCACGTGCCCTCATCACCTGACCGTACTATATTAGGTCATCGAGTCTTAGTCTTATGTTCGAATTTACGATCGATGTTTGACATTGTAGGTAATTTGTGGAAACACGACCTCGGAAGATTCTTCGTACCAATAAAATAAAAATTTGTGAAGTCAACATATCTAATCGTATTGTATTTCAATTTATTTTATTTGTATTTTTTTATAAATAAACTGTGTTACTATCAAACAAAAAATAAACTGTTACACAACGCTCACAACTTGTATAAGCGGAATGTTATTTTTTCATCTATACCTACTTCTATACTAATATAATAAAGAGGTAAAGTGCGTGAGAGAGAGAGGTAAAGTGCTATAGGCTACAAAACATCGCTCTACGATTAAATGGAACCGAGCAGTGGGTGAAACCGCGCGAGATTAGCTAGTTTAGTAAGCATAGAGGATTGAGAAATATTGTTAATATTAATTAAACGATATCTATCAAAAAGCTAGTTGCCAAAATAGAAAACTAGATGTCGCTACACTATTATTTAGATAAATCACATTAAAATAATTAATAATTAGCTACTCATATGCTTATCGAAACAAGAGAATAATGATTTGCTAAATAGATGTAAAGGAAAATCACAGAAACCACCCCTTTACAGAAAACATTCGTGAAACAACGCTAGCGTTGTGTTCCGCCTTGTGAATGAGGTTACTGGACGTCTACTTCTACTTCTACCCTCATCCCATTCCCAAGTCCCATATTCCTAATACTTATGCAGCCCGGTATGCAAGCCCTTGATGTCCATAGAAGCCAAAATAACTTATAAAAAATGATTTTGTGTTCCGAGAGCCTGCTCCTGAGCCTCCACGTTCTTTGATCATCACGAAACTTTTTATTTTTTTGTAGTTAACGTATGTATGTTAACGTACGTAACGTAGTTAACACATTTTTCACATATTTACGATATGGTAAATATGTGAAAAATGTGGTCCAAAGCTAAAAATACACGTGTCGATGACTCAATCTGACCTCGTAATTTATTTAAGGAAAAGTATAGCATATAAAATAACTTATAAAATATAAATAAACTAAAACAAAAAAAATAATAGTTGTGAGAGAGCCTGGCTTCGGCACGAATGGATCGGCTCGACCGTATTAATAACACGGCCTCACAGAAAACCGGCGTGAAACAACTACAGCGTTGTTAGTCGCTTTGTGAGTGAGGTTACTGAAGGCCCAATCCCTCTTCCGCTCCCCATTCTGTCCCAATCCTAGAATATCCGAAACTCTTATCCCCAAAAGGCCGGCAACGCACTCCTTTGGTGTTGCGAGTGTCCATGGGCGGCGGTGATTGCTTACCATCAGGTCATCAGTCTGCTCGTTTGCCGACCTATACCATAAAAAATAAATAAGGACAAAGTATAAGTAAATAACATAACTTCTTAAAATATTAATAATCTACAACAAGAAAAGAGACGAGAAATTAGAAATTACTTAAATTGAAAAAATTATACATTCATAACAAAGAAACGATGCTCCAGGCCACCTCTCCTCTTCTATCTTTGTCTCAAATTGCATCATTATCTACTCAGTAGTTTTGGTCTGTGACTCCAAAAAACATACATACACTCTCATTTTATAATTATTAGAACATTTTTCAAAAAAAATTTACTAATTATTATTTCATAATAATAATATGTGGTTATTCATATAAACTCGAAAGTTGGTAATAGTTTATTTTATTACTAGCTACTGTCCCGCAGTTTTACCCGCTCCTAGGCTTCTAGATATCGTAGCGTATGAAACATCAGTTTCATAGCCAGCCTTCCTCGATAAATGGACTAACAAACACAAAAAGAATTGTTCAATTCGAACCAGCACTTCCGGAGATTAGCGCGTTCATTCAAACAAAATCTACAGCTTTATAATGTTTATAATATAATAAAATAAGTATAGATTTTCATTTTATTTATGAACAAACTATAGATTTTAATTTTAACTAAGGAATCCTTTTAAATGGTGGTAAGTAATTAACACAATTTTATTAACTATAATTTTTGATGTTCATCACCTCATCATCCATATTGTAGAAAATCATCTATCCAGCCTAGAGACATACAACGAATTAACCCCGTGCGCGCTGTGATTACCTTGGGTAAACATTCTGTAGCAAATATTAACCCTTTCACCGCTATAGCTCGATAGTTCAACTTAATTAATTGCGCTGCGGTTGTGAATGTTGATGGCTTTGTCACTTTATTGATGCGATTTCGTTCTACGATCTGCTAATTTGACTCCTTCATTAGTCGATTAATCAAGTGATCTATCGAGGAAGTGATATGGGTCAATTGACATTTAAGGGCATTACTATCGAGAGAGATTTTTTACGTTGAAGAACCGTTGAAGAAGTATTTGCTAACAAGCAATTCTGATGGTAAGTAATCGGCACCACCCACGGACACCTGCAGCACCAGAGGTGTCACTGGCGCGTTGCCGGCCTTTTAAGAAGGAGTATGCTCGTTTCTTGATTAGGTTGAAACTCAGAAAAAAACCATGAAAAAACCAGTCTCATACTATTGAAACGTCATAAAAGAAAAATAGTCAGTTAGTGAAGCAAGCCGAATTGCAGATTAGAATTAAGAATAAATAAAATAAATAATAAAAAAAGGAACGACCAAGAAAATCAAATGTGCAGCAGTCAAAAAAATTTTTATGCTACCATTACAAAAAACGTCATCTTCGAGAAATATTCGCCTTTTTTTGTCAAGGCAAAATCATTAAATGATTTCCCCCGCCCAAGGTAAGGCGAGAGACAGTGTCAGACTCTTCCTGACTAAAAACCCCCCCATTCCTTCTCCTGCTTTGGGCCGAGACCACGGTGACTCATTGCGCTTAACCCGCAATCCCGGCGAGGAACATTCGCCTGACGTGATATTAGATCGGTGTGTCATATTGTTCTTATAAGTACAATAGTTACATGACCTGAAGATCTCTGTAATTCTTAACATGACACCATCAGATCTGAGTCATCAGTAATTAGTATGACTCATACACCATTTCAAGATGACGGCAACTGAAATTCAGACACAATTCATCACTAAGAAAATTACTTTCATATACAGTTGTATAAAAAAATGATAATAAACAACAGTCAAGTTTTAATACGGCAGAAAAACAGAGTTAAAACGAAAGTTACTTCCATTGTTTTTTTGCTATACTAAAACTGAACTGTAAAAAATATTAAGTATGGGAGAGCCGTGTTTTGGTACGAATAGGCCGGTTCTACAATAGTACTACAACGGTTCTAGTCCCGGTGTGACCAGAACTGGTTTGTCTCGATTGACTAGGGTAGCAAATCGCTTTTTCACCCCATCTCCAAATTCCAAATGACCTTATCCTCAAATTCGTTAACCTCAAAAGGCGAACAGCGCACTTGCAAACCCTCTAATTATTTACCGTAGGATGATGCCTCAGCTCGTTTCCAAACTGATCTTACAAAAAAAAACAACATACAGGATAAAAAAATCTGGTAGGAGAGCCGTAGTGCGACACGAATGTTTCAGCCAGAGACTGGAGTGATTTCTATGTGAGTGAGGTTGTAGAAGGCTTAACCCATAGAGAAATTACCCAGCCGCTTATGACCCAAAATTTTGTAGTAAATACTTGTCAAGGCATATGTTTTGTGAGCGCTGTAGCGCAGTACGCGCGCTCCACGGGTTGTTTTCTCTATGCATAAACCTCACCAAAACCAGCCATTCTCTGACTTTTAAAGACTTGAGTGTTGCCGGCTCTCATTATTATTTGCATAATATCTGATAAAAAAAAACTATATCTTTCATTCATTCTGTAAATATCCGAAAGAAGGGCGAAGAATAGAAAATATAGAAAGACGCAAGTGCAGTAATTCTTTACGAATATGGCAATTCTAAAATACCAATTTTTGCTTCGCACACTTTTTTGGCAATATTGGTAGGTACGTACTACGAACATGACATACATAGGTACACAAACAATGCTATTACACGCCAGAAGAGCAACCATGTAATAAATATCTTTTATTTTTAGTTCGAAATTTCTTTCCGAAAAGAACGAATATATTTTGCTAAAAACGATTTGAGAGTTTACAGGTCAAAGAAGATCTGAAGCTCTATTCTCAGATGACTGTGGGTAGGTAATTAATAAAGTAAACATGAATATCACCCATTTTTTATCATTCTTTGACTTGAAAGATATGGAATTAAGTATTATTCAAGAAACTTGCGTTCTCCTTCTTAAAAGACCGGCAACGCGCTGTGAGTCCTATGGTGTTGTAGATGACTATGGGCGCTGATTACTTACCATCAGGTGATCCGTCTGCTAGTTTGCCTATTCCACAAAAAAATAAAAGTTATCAATAGCCGCTTCATATGAGGCGCAATGTTATTCTGTTCATGAATATGAGTCCTTACTGAGGCTTGAAACAAGCCGAGTTCCTCGTAAAACAGTTACGTGTGTAGGCCGTTAGTCATAACTCTTTAATCACTTATTTTATTTCTTTCTCCGGTGTTGTGGGTGTCCAACGGCCGCGATTGCTTACCACCAAGTTATCGATATGCTCTAATTACCGTCGTATCACCTAAAAAAAAGTCACTTTTGCAGCAATTGCTAAGTGTGGGAGAACCAAGCTTCGACACGAATGGGTCGGCTCGACCGGCGTGATTACAACCAAAGCGTTGTGTTTCGCCGTGTGCGTGAGGTTAACGGAGGCCCAATCCCTCCAAACCCTTACCCCTAAAAGGCCGGCAACGCACGTAACGTAACGCTTTTGGTGTTGCGGGTGTCCATGGGCATAATCTATATGATCATTAATTTGTCGACATATACCATAAAAAAAAAATTAGACCAATAAAACTATTTAAACTTAAGCTATATAAATTTTAATCTGTTTTTGTATACTTTTATTTCATCATTATGGAACTAGAGTTTGTCTTTCGCAGATAGTATCTGAACACTTTTATTGCTAACTTACTCACAAACGACGTCACACATGTGTAATATGTCTAAGTACGTGACATGAGTTAGAATATACTTTATATTATGTTAATGTATTGGGTTCTTTAAATTCCAGTATTACTATATTTCTCACATACATATATTCAACCTAGATTCTTTGAAAAGTTATTTTTATTTAATCCGTTTTGTTTTTTGTTTAATAACTGATCTAATATGAAAATTTGTGCGTCCTAAGGTGGCATCAGAAACAATGAATATATTGAATATATTTAAAAATCTTACCTAAAATACCATTACAGTGTGACAGAAAAAAAGTGTCTTCTTTTTTGAATTTCTTTATAACTCTTAAAATAGTCAATTTAAAATTACATAATCTGCTAAAGCATATATCCTACTGGTTCGTAAGCAGAATCAACAACTTAGAAGGATCACCAACCTTCACTAATAACAATAGACCATTCTATTCAAAAGCGCCTGTATGTGGATCGTTTATAATATATATTTTTTTTTGTTTTCGACAGGTATCTTGTTGGTTTCAAGAACTTGCTGAGAAGTATCGAGTGCAAAGGCATTGGTTCGGTGTTGGGCATCAACTATTTTGCGAGAGGTTATCTTCAGCCAAAAGCTTACGAAAGGTAATCTTCGATAAGCGTTAGTGTCATCATCGACATCGTAAGACGTTGGTTCACCTGACGTATTAATGCTCCGACTTCCACTACCTATGTGATTCCTTCCACAAAGAAGAAAATTTTTAAAATCTTAAATGTTTTAAATTGTCTCACGCCATAATATTTTTTGATTCTATAGGCCCAAGTCCTTCGAATCCTCAATCCTTAAATAACTAACTGTAAAAGGCTGACAATGCAGTTGAAATCCCCATGGTGTTGCGACTATCTATGGGCAATTCGTCTGCTTGCTTGCCGACCTTCCATAAAAAAAATCTTTAGCACATAATGGAATCTATAGGATCTCGAAAAATCGCAGAAGTTCAACTAATTATTATAAAGAATTTATTAAATAAAACATGATATGAGTTATTGTGGCAACATTTGACCTTGAACTGGGATTTTTTGAATAATTTTTGGTTTTCCAGATATATCGCCCATATGGTCTTGGGACGAGACCTATTGGACAACACATTGAATCTGGTGCCTTCCCTCATTCCTCTACACAAGGACATTAAAGAAGACAGTCATGAATACCAGGACTTGGAGAAGAAGTATGAAGCTGTTTTTTTTCATTGATTAGGCATTTATATCCATGCTATAAAATGCTTTTATGGCTGCAGCTGGAGAAAACCATGTCTGAAAAAAAAACTTGGCCTCCGAATTTCAATATATGTATTATGATTTCATTTATAATGGAACATTGTTATTCATATTATTATTTTTTGCCCAGAAACCAACAGATAGTCGACAATAAGCACCAGGATGGTAGTGTAGCTGATGCAATAGAGTACTTTGACCAGACTGCAACCTTCCTAGACAAGCTGAGAGCAGTGCAGAAGCAACTAAGGGAGTACATAAGGTTTGTGAAAATACCATCAAATATTTTATATCTACGTCGTACCTGTCTTTCATTAAGTATACATTGAGTGATACCACGGCCTCACAGAAAACCGGCGTGTCAACCATAGTGATGTGTTTCGCCGTGTGAGTAAGGTTTCTGGAGGCCCAATTCTCCCCCTCTAGCAATCCCCTAATCTCCGGGCTAAGAAGGAATGTTAAATTATACTTATTCTAACAACCATTTCTTCTTCATGTGGAACGTGACATGTGGGAAAGTTATATTTCGTATTCGAATGGGCCTGCTTGACCAAAGTGATAGCATTGCTCTATAGAAAATCAGCGTTAAATAATCGGTGCATTGTGTTTCGCCATGCCAATCCTCGACAATATAACCCTCAAAAGAACATTAATTTTGTCACTCCCATCGTGCGCCGGATATCCGGCATCATTTTAATACTATTAGATGAACAGCATGCTTGATTAGCGCTCTATCTCATAAAAACCTCTTTGATTTCATCTACATTCATCAATCTCTTTAGATGTTGATTGAAGGTGCGTTTTGTACAGCCGGGTTTGCGGGGCAAGCGCAATAAGGCACTTCGGCCTCAGCCAAGACCAGGAGAAGGAACGGGGGTTTTAGTTGGTAAAATTGTGACAATTCCTCTCGTCTCACCTCAAGAAGTCATTTGAGAATTTTCCCTCACAAAGAAACTCCTCTTTTGTAAACGTTGTTTTTTTATTGGAGTCAAAGTCGGTCATAAATTCCAAATAAACCATAACAAGAACCTACTTTGGAAAATATTAAGATGGAATAAAATAGTCTCTCAGTCTGTTCGTCTGTGGAGCAAGATGCTCATCACGCTAGGTTGACGTAATATAAAGCCCTTTTCACCTCTTTAATTGGATAGGAAAACACATTATTATCTATTTCCTCTTCTATTCCTCTAAAGGTAATTCCAATGAGAAAAATTTGTTTGTCACTCAATCACGATGATATTGAATGAATCAGGATAATAGTGATACAGAAGTAGACCACTGGCAAGATTTCCTCCTGATATTGCGTTCCCGTAGATCAAATTTCGACTACTTTACGCATTGACGCAACTTTTTTATGCCATAGTACGGTTTTTTTTGTGAGGGGAAAATCATCAAATGACTTTTCCCGCCCAGAGCTGGGCGAGAGGGAGTGTCAGACTCTTACTGACTAAAAACCCCCTGTTCCTTCTCCTGCTCTGGGCCAAGGTCGCGGTGCCTCAATGTGATAGTACGGTAAACGAGCAAATGGATAACCTGATGGTAAGCAATCATCGCCACTCATGGATACCAGCGGCATTAGAGGAAGTACAAGTGCGTTGCCGACCTTTTGGGATTAGAAATTTGGAGATTTAAGGATTGGGGAACGATTGGGCAACTGGCAAAAGCTAGCAAAAAAATCAAAATTCGTTATCACAAGTCAATTTACTAAACATACCGGATAAAAAATATTATTCATCAAAATAATATTTGTGACAAACAAATTCGTACTTTAAGTGTTTAACTGAAATGTGCTATTTAAACAGACCGCTACAAGTCACGTTACGGTTCAAATTAAATTGAATGTGATTAGCTTGGGGGTAATCAAGTGTATGCGCAATACGATTCAGAGAACACTCACGTTTGAAACTCAATTCCCGAGTGAGAAACGATCGCTTTATGATGCCGACACTCTCGATTTGAAGTGGCCAGTAACATTTTGTAATTGACTAGCTACTCTGGCGCGGTTTCACCCGCTTCTCAGCTCCATTAAATCATAACGTGATGTTTTATAGCCTAATAACATTCAGGAACATTGTAGTTACCTATCAGTGAAAGAATTTTGGCAATCCGACCAGCGGTTCCAAAGATTACCCCCTACATACAATCTTACAAACTTACAAAATTACAAAGATACAAACTTACAAACTTACAAACATACAAACTTACAATCTTATAAACATACAAACTTACAAATTGTATCTCTTTATAATATTAATATAGATATGTAATTATGTTGATATCAAAGTTAAATTAATTTTTCTTCATATATATTTTTTTTCTAATGTTCTTTCTCAAAGCCCATAACTATCTGTTTAATGAATTTTGTTGTCGAAAATGACAGTTGACTCACGTGCATTAACTGCCAAAAATGTCTATTATCATTAAAAGTCAAATAAAGTCATTCGGATACTGATTTGGGAAATTTGTCCATGAGTTTCGCTATTTTTTTTAATGTGATATGTCGGCAAACGAGCAGGCGGAATACGTGATGGTAAGCTATCAGCGCTGTCCATGGACACCCGCAACACCAAGGGAGTGCAGATTTAGGTATTTAAGAGGTATTGAGGGAGGGGAAGGATTGGACCTCCGGTAACCTCACTCACACGGCGAAACACGACGCTGTGTTTATTTCGCGCCGGCTTTCTGTGAGGCCGTGGTATCACTCCGGTCTAGCCGACCTATTCGGTCGAAGCATGGCTCTCCCACACTTAAAAAATTGCTTTCCACCAGGCGATGCACATGCTTGTTTGCCCCCTTTCCAATAAAAATATACCCACGAAATAAGTAACAAATACTTAATAATAATAGTTTAACCAGACCTATCTCAACTATTTGGCACACATACATATAATATTTGCTCTACTGAAATAGATCCAATGTCAATACCGCAAGAGCAACGACCCGCCTAAATTTGTTTGAACTCAAAGCTAACAAGATTGTAAAGGAGATCACGTAACATCTTACATTTTAATTTTATTCTCATTCTTGTTCGTTTATTCTCATTTCTGTTTCTTCTTATCATTGACCTGTACTTGAAAATTGTCCTGTGTCTTACATTTAGAAATTTCCGGGAACAGAAGGTTTCATTAGAACGAAAAAAGAGGACCCTCCGACAAGGCGAGGTGATCACGTCTGGCGGGATACTGCCATATTTTTTTATGTGATAGGTGATACCCGCAACGACATAGTAGGATTTGGAGATTTAGGGATAAGAGAGGGGAAGGATTGGGCCGCAGACAACCGGACTCACATGGTGAAACACAACGCTGTGATTGTTTCACGCCGGTTTTCTGTGAGGCCGAGGTATCACTTCGGTCGAGCCGATCCGTTAGTGTCGAAGCATGGCTCTCCCACATTCACTTCCACTCCCCAATCCCAAAATCTCCAAATCCCTTTCCTCCAAAAGGTCGGCAACACACTCGTAACTCTTCCGTTGTTGCGGGTTTTCACGAGTGGTGCTGATTGCTTTCCATCAGATAGTCCGCTTGCTCTATAAGTATTGCACGATCAAGACTAGGTATTTAGACGAGCTATAATTACGTCTAGGCGCCGCTAGCCTACACTGTAATTGTCGACTGATTGAACAATTATCTGGTGTAATAATATTTAATTGGACATAACATGTTATGAATTATAGTACTTATCGTCGCACTCAGAGTCATTTCATGGCTACTTAAACCAGTCTTTAGCTAAGTATTGGTTCCGGAACGATATCGTGAGAGCATTTCTAGATTAAGTTTTTCATTTGTTGGGGGAAAATTGACAAATGCCTTCTCTCTAGGATAAGGCTAGAGGGACTCCTCACATCATCAGCTTATAAGTACCCAATGCTGAGCAAAGGCCTCTTCTCACACGGCCAAAATTTGAGCATTAATCACTACGCTTGCTCAAGGCGGATTGGCGATTTCAAACTTATAATTAGAAATTATAAATCCAGGTTTCTTCACGATGTTTTCCACCGTATGAATGTCAGTGATGTCTAAATATTTATAGAAGGTACATATAACTCGGAAAATGTCACATTGCTACTTGGCAGGTTTTGAAGCCGCAACTTCATACATGAGAAGCGTGAGTCTTAACTTCCGGGCCAGCACGACCGCCAAGGCCGTCGGACGTTTACTGACTAAAAAACCCCTAGTTCCATCTCTCTCACACGATAAAGTTCACTCTGGTTTTCTGTGAGGTCGTGCTGTCACTCAGGTCGAGATAATTTTGTAAACGGCTCTCCCACGCTTAAGTATGTATTATAACATATTTTATTATGTGCAATTATAAAGAAGACGTCATATTCAAAGATAATAACTAAGAAGAGAACTAGTTTGGAAAGCTGCCTAGCGTCACTAAGCACGTTATTGCATGACCCATACATTCAAGTTGTGCGTCAAACAGAAATAGAAAACAAATTTATTTGCGACATTCAAGAAACGGGCGGAACCAGTTAGCTCGATTGAAATAGATTTAAATCACATGATGTAGATAATAAAGTTCATGGTTTTTTGTAAGGGAAAATCATTAAACGGTTGCTCCAACCCAGGGCGGGGCGGGAGAGAGTGTCAGACTCTTACTGACTAAAAACCCCCTGTTCTTTCTCCTGCTCTGGCAAGAGGCCGCAGTGTCTCATTGCGCTTATCCCGCTATCCCGAATGAACATCAGCCCTATACAGCCCCGTCTGTGGTCTATAGGCTCTAACGATACGTGCTCGGGTCTGGTTTGGAGCTTCCCTTACTCGCCGTCCACAGACCCGCGCTTACGATGACCGGAGATCATCTCTTGATTAATGATGATCATTATGATAAAAATAGTTTAAATCTATGAGCTAATAAAATAAGTGAATACAAACAACACCACACTGTTTATCAAGACTTAAAACGAGTCGAAATAATGTTGAATGAACTTTAAATCAAACTACACACAGTCGAGTTTCGATCCGAAGTGAGCTGTAATGTGTGTAGACAGAATGGCGCCAGATAAGAATGCGTGGGCGCGTGGTTACAGACATATACATACATACTTATGTGTATATCTTATACAGTTATATACATAACTTACAAGTTCAAGGTGCCATTTTAAATGTAATTAGTAGTTCTAGAATGGGTTAAGTAACTTTTTTTGGTGATTCTCCGATAAACCTGTACTTTTATGTAACAAAACATTATCCTCCTGGGTTTTTAAGCTTGTTAGTAACTTATTATTCACAATTTTACTAAAGTAACAATATGACTTTTTCCGAATTATATGTTCTTTCTATGGTTACATAGACACCACTGACATACGGCGAAGGGTAACATCGTGAGGAAATCTGGACTTATAATTTTTAACTTTAAGCAATCGTCGTGATTGATGCTCAAATTTTCTCGGTATGAGAAGAAGCCTTTGCTCAGCAGTAGACACGTATAAGCTGGTGCGCACGTTCTATTTAAAGCCTCGTTTCTCCCAGGCCTTTAGGCCTTTATAAACACACAACTTAGACATAATCTATAGATAATTTCGTTTCGCTTAATTTGACCTTCGTGGGCGTAGCATAGCTCCACTTGACTGAAATATCGATGTTCAACAGCATGTTGCAACGAAATAAACATGTTGCGTCGTTGCGCGGCAATATTGCTCAGTGTTGCGCAATAATTGCTGTATATTTTTGTCTTAACATTGTCCCACTTTAAGGTCCTTGTCCTGTGACGTAGTGTGTTTACAAACATAAAAATGCACGTCACACCCGAATGTGAGGCGCGTAGCGTTCCGAGTGCGCCTCAAAGAGCCAATAGACTACCACCAGATGGGGCCCAACATGGCCATTACTTAGTCGGGGTGTCGGACCAAGCGGAATCAGGTACCTACCGTAGCCTGGTCTTGGAGCAGGGGGAGGAACTTTGATGTTTTAAGTCAGTAAGAGTCTGACACTCCCTTTTCTCATAGCCTGGGCCTTTCCCACAACAAAAAGGGTAAACATCACGCACAGAATTGGTCGGTGCAGGAATCGAATCATACCAAAACATAGCTGTTCCGGTCCATCTTATAAAAAGACGCTAAAAATGTTGGCTTTAGACATACCATTGAAATAACTACTTGGTGTTTTCTACAGGGATGGCGTAACGGTTAGTTTGACTGAAGCCCGAAGGTCGGAGGTGGTTTGCGCAGGAATCCTTATCCTGGTATGCGTCGTCTCTCCAATCATCATCGTGCTGGTCAGAAACGCTGTGAATACCATACAGGTAAACAGATGACAGTTTTCTTCCAATGTAAGGATTAGCTTAAAATATTGTATAAGTTTTGGACCCTTGATGTCTATTTTACAAGCTTTCATGCGTTTAGTTTGTACGAGCAAAAATGCTACACATTGAATGTCTCTTAAAGTGTTTATTCCCGTGACTGATAATAGCTTTTTTTTTGAATTCCATCTATTAATTGTTATTATAATAACTTTTAAATATTTAAACATTTTATATAACTGGTACCTACCGATTTAAGTAGTTTCATTAAGAAAACCAACTACATTTTTGTCGTAACAAAAATAAAGGGATGACACCTAAATCATAATTATAAAAAAAGAGAGCGAAAAAGAGAGACATTTTCTGAAAAGGCTTTCATCACATGTTGTATTTTCAAATCTTTTATAGTATGGTCGGCAAACGAGCAGACTTATTGTCTGAAAGTAAGCAATCAGCGCCGCCCATAGGCACCAAGGAGTTACGAGTGCGTTGCTGGCCTTTTAGGGATAAGGATTTCGGATATTTAATGGAAGGGGGGAGGGATTGGAGCCCCGGTAACCTCTCTTACACGGCCAAACACAACGCTGTGGTTGTTTCACGCAGGTTTTCTGTGAGGCCGTGGTATCACTCCGGTCGAGCCGATCCATTGTGCCGAAGCATGGCTCTCCCACACTAGATTGAATAATGTTATGAAATGCAGCCAATGTTAGCGAAAGTCAATGGCGCGTGCATACGTCATCGTTGCACCGCGTGTGCATGTGTAGGCGTGGATCATTGACCGTGAACGAACTTGCACCATTCTTTGTAACCGTACATAAGACTTAATAATAATCAATTTACACCTCAAAATAATTGTAGCATTTTTTGTGGAAGTAAGTTAAGAAGTTGACATTTTGGGGGTTAGATTTTGAGGGATTAGTAGATTTGGCGATTTTGGTGGGTTTTCTTTAAGGTCGGTTGACAATGATAAACTTTGTATGTCAGAGGTGTCTTATTAATTCTAAAAAGTACTTATTATATTTCTAAAAATACCACTCATATCGACATGCTTTGTAAAAGAAAACTTGGTAAACTAGGTACTAAAAGGATTAAAAGTAGGTGCTGGTGTAATGGAAAACCTCAATACCTATTTATAGTTATTTCAGTAAAATTAGTACATGACAATAAGTATTGCGTGTATTTGAAAAGATAAGATAATTTAATCAAGAATAACATCATTTAAAACAAGCGATATGAGGTACCGCGGTCTCGAGTAAGAGAAGAACGGTTTTAATCAGTAAGTGTCTGACACTTCCTCTCGCTTCACCTGACCGGGAGAAGGAATTTCGTAATTTGATGATATTTCAATTTAAAAAATACCCCCGCTCTCCCTGGTTGTACAACGCTACATGAAATACATGCATGAAATATCTACATTTTAGTTGCTTTTTTCAGGTATACGCAAGTAATTTGGCTGAAAAGGCTCGGGAATTGGAATACGAAAAAGAACTAAGTGACTCCTTACTGTACCAGATGCTGCCTCCAAGTATAGCTAAACAATTGAAACAAACACAGCAGGTTCGTTTTTCAGTTTAATATTGGTTGATAAGGCTTCACAGTTTCTTTCAATAATTACAAAAAAATACATTTTTAATTATTTCTTAAATGTAATAAAAAAGTAGTGATCCACCGTTATCGGGACCATGGTCCTAGCTACTGGCTCTCAGGGCTCTAGAGAAAGAAACCTCTTGATAACATGAGCCGTGTCCAGGAGCTTTTTGAACTAGTAAATGAATTACCTGATGATAAGCAATCAGCGCTGCCCATGGACACTCGCAACAACGGAGGAGTTAGAAGTGTCCATGGCCGATCTTTTGGGGATTTAGGGATTGGGGGAGGGGAAGGATTTGACCTCCGATAACCTCACTTACATGGCCAAACAGCTATGAGTTAAGAGACTCGTCAGTAAACGTGTCTTTCTTTCTTCTTTCTCTAAACGCTTCAACTCAATGACTTCTGGATCAACCATTTGGAAGCGACGTGTATTTAACGGCTTCTTGCTACCATTTAAAGACCATAATCATTAAAAAACTTATTTTCCTATAGCCACTTCATAAATGCAGAAACTTCACTAAAGTAACAAACCAACATACATAACTATGCCATTTTACATAAGGCCCATTTTCGCGTGCGCCCATCTTTTCTAATTTATAGACTGAATAAAATACCTTGTACGCCTTCTTTTCGTAAATGTTAAAAGTTTTAATGAGTTTTTATGGAATTTTCAAAACGTATACGATACGAGTGCCTACCTATTGAAGTTTGTAATTAGATTTTGGTTTAAAAATAACCGCAAAGTTTTTGTACGTACACCTGAAAACTAATTAGTCGTGCTCTTTATATTTTTATAATTTATTTTCAAGTTAATTGAAACGAACGGTATCACTTCAAAAAAGTTCCGCATTTATACGATATTTTTTCTTTTGAAAACATTTGTAAGAGTGACTAGTAAAAAGAATAAGCGAGAAAGGGGGATGGAGCTATAAAACGTGCTAAAGCTATATAGCTCCATCCCTCTTTCTCGCCGCAGGTCTAAGGATGTATCATCACCTAACTTCGTGTGGGAAGAAGACCGAAGTAGTTTTAAGTCAGTAAGAGTCTGATTTCTTGCTTCACCAAGGTCGGGAAAGGTCATTCAATAATTTATTTCCTCAATAAAACTGGGATTTAATCGACCACGCAATGATATTAGCGGATGGTTTAAAAATAATTAATAGTGGCATGTGAATCGGGTGACTGTGTGGCAATAAGTTCTTCACCAACCGCATGGGGCTACAGCATTTCTCGCACAGTTCACATGTTTAATTTGACAACGGAGCTTATTTAAAAAAGACGTTATGTCTCAAAATTGAATTTTATTGTTGAAACACATAATTTCAAGATTAAAATACCTTCTTTTTTGACTTAGGTCTCTTTTCTATAAGAAGTATAATGTAGACAACCGCAACACCTAAAGTCCTATACTTGCGAGTGCATTACTGGCCTTTTGGGGATTAGAGTTTGGGACACCGCGAAACAGAACGCTGCGGTTGTTTCGCGCTGGTTTTTTGTGAGGCCAAGGTATTACTCAGGTCGAGCCAGCTCATTCGTGCTGAAACATGGCTCTACCACAATTACCTAATTGTTTTATTCTTTTCAGGTCCCAGCTGAATTTTTCTCTTCAGTGACTGTGTACTTCAGTGACATAGTTGGGTTCACCGCAATTGCAGCTGTATCTACACCGTATCAGGTACTATTTTATTAAAACCATTATCGCTACGTATTGATTGCTGATGGTAAGAAAACGTCACCGTCCATCCCGTTGCACCAGTGGAGTTGTCCAAAGGCCTTGCGACCTTTGAAAGGCCTTGCGACCTTTTGAAGGCCTTCACTAAGATGACTTACATGACGAAACAATGGCGTTTAAATAAACGTTCCTTTTAAAAGTATTTTTTACAAATTTTCAGGTGATAAGTTTCCTGAATTCAGTATACAAGTTGTTCGATGAGAAAATTGAATGTTATGATGTGTATAAAATCGAGACGATTGGAGATTCGTACATGGTGGCTTCTGGGTTACCTGTTAGAAATGGTAAGACTTATGTTACATGATTATATATTATACATTTTATATACAATCAAAAGTAGCAGTAATGATGAAAGGATTTGAGCTTTAAACCGTACACAATGAGAAAAAAACGTCGTGATTAGGGAAAGGTCAGCATGACAATAAAATGTAATGACAAGAATTGAAAAAGGAATTCAAGAAAGAAAGAAAAAAAAGATTAACTATTTATTAGGCACCAGGCATTGTGCCTGGTGCCTTATAAATAGTTAATCTTTCATCATGCGTCTTAATATTTTAGAATTATAAAAAATACAAGGTAAATTAAAAAAGAAGAAATAAAAGACGGTGTAAGTTAGGCTCAGTGAGAACTAAACTCTGGTTTTCAATTGGCACCCTTGCAGATGCTTGTGTATATGAAGATGGTTTGGTCTTATTGAAAAGGTAGATTCTAGGAGAATCAAAAAAGGACGTTTTCATTTAATTTGATATGTTCGTTGAACCTACCTTAAAGAACAATAACATGTCGTATAATTAATAAAAAAGGGGCCTTAGTCAAAAAAAGTATAATAAGTAATCTTAAAATTAATGTTTTAACAATAAGGTTCGTTTTTAAATACCCTATTTTATGAGGTACTTCTGTTTTCTATTAAAAAAATCATGTTCACTTCCAAGGCAACAAGCATGCGACAGAAATAGCGAGTATGGCGTTAGAGCTGCTGGAAGCGACATCTATGTGCAGGCTTCCTCATCGACCCGATCAGGTACTGATCTAGGTAATAATTGTATCTGTGTTCATTAAGAATATTATATTAATATTTGACACTAGTGGAGGATTTGCCTTCAACAGCATCTCGGCTATTATAAATATGGTAAAATTCTCGCAAAACATAGCGTTTGGTTGGATTTCCGAAATTGTATCACTGGTAGAAAGCCATAATGTTCCTGAGTGCTATAAAACAACATCCTGCGACCTATAGGAGCCAAGCAGTGGGAGCTAGTGTTAAAATAATTGTCTAGCGTAATAATAATTCATCATTCAATTTCAATTTCAGTACTTGATTCCGATCATTGTGGTCAGTTAATTTCTTTAACAAATGAAATAAATATAGTGTCAAAACAATTTATCACAGTTAATCCGAAGACTAAAAGACGCATTGAATTTTTCAAAGCTAAACTCAGCAACAAATTGCCTTTGTTGTTGAATTATAAGAATTCTAACACTTTATATGATAAGTTTTTTAAAATGTACCTAACAGAGTTTAAGTCTACTTTTACAGATAAAACTATTCCAGCTAATAGCAATGTGTCTTTTGGTGATTGGGCAACCACTGGTATCTATAAGAGTAGAAATCGCCTCTATGAGCTTTATAATGAGCGGACATATATTAATACTGTTGAATTCAGTGAATATGTAAAAAACTATTCTAAATTATTTAAAAAAGTTTGCTCTATTGCAAAATCTCTATTCTTAAGCTCTAAGATAAAGAACAGTACCAATGTTATCAAAGACACTTGGAACATTATCAACAGTGAGGCAGGAAGGTCTAAAAAAAGAATTAGTCAACATAGTCTAGTAATTGATAATAAGTTAATAAAAGCGGATGTAGAAATTGCAACTGCTTTTGAACATTTCTTTTCCGACATTCCTGTATCCACTACAAAGTCACTGAATTCATCTCCCACTGTTGCAGAGTCTTTACTCAAAGAACATGTTGTAGCTTGCGATTCAGGGTTTTCCTTCAAACACATAGATAACAAAGACATTGTTAAAATCTTTAATACTTTGAATAACAAAAAGACTGCAGACCTATGGGGTAATTCTGTGTACATTACAAGCTCTGTAATAACTATTGTAGCACCTGTATTGGCTCAAATCTTTAATAACTGTATTGACTGTGGTGTGTTTCCTGATCTTATGAAATGTAGTAAAATAATTCCATTATTTAAATCAGGTAGTACTTCTGACCCCACTAACTTTAGACCTATTTCAGTACTACCTACGTTCAGTAAAATTTTTGAAAAAATCATTTTAGATCAAATGCAAAGATTTTTTAATAGAAATAAATTATTACATGCGAAGCAGTTCGGATTTACAAGGGGTCGTTCAACAACTGATGCCGGTGTTGAACTTCTTAATCATATTTACGACGCATGGGAGGACTCAAGCGACGCTTTGGGAATATTTTGTGATTTATCAAAGGCGTTCGATTGCGTGCTTCATGATACACTGATCAGGAAGCTTTCCCATTACGGAATTAGAGGTGCATCTCTGGACCTTCTTACCTCATACCTGAGTAATAGGGTTCAGAGAGTCGAAGTAAACGGAATGGTTTCTGCCGGGTCTGTTGTGAAGATGGGTGTTCCGCAGGGTTCTATTCTCGGCCCGTTTTTATTTCTTATCTATATTAATGACTTGCCTTACCTTGTAAGGGATAAACACAAGATAGTGCTGTTTGCTGATGATACCTCACTATTATTCAAACATGACGACGACAATCATTAATTGACAATGTAAACAGTGCTCTCTCAGAAATAGTTCACTGGTTTGGTGTGAATAACTTATTACTAAACGAAACTAAAACTAAATGTATTAAATTCACAACACCAAATGTTAAACAGATAAAAACCAGTGTGCTTGTCAAGGGCGAGGAGTTGAGTCCTGTAGATACAACTGTCTTTTTAGGTATAACCCTGGACGCTAAGCTCCAGTGGGGCCCACATATAGATGGCTTGTCGAAGAAGCTCAGTTCTGCAGCATATGCCGTTAAAAAAATTAGAAATTTAACAGATATAGATACAGCGCGGTTAGTTTATTTTGGTTATTTCCACAGCATCATGTCATACGGTATTTTGTTGTGGGGGAATGCTGCTGACATCCAGTCTATTTTTGTTCTGCAGAAAAGGGCTATTCGATCAATCTATTATCTTAGTCCGAGGCATTCGCTCAGAGAATTATTTAAGGAATCTAAAATAATGACAGTTGCCTCTCAATATATTTATGAAAATGTAATTCACGCTCATAAAAACAAAAGCTTATTTAAGAAATATAGTGATATACATAATATCAACACGAGGGGGAAAAACAAATATGTTGTGCCTGCCTCCAGGCTTCAGAAAATAAGTAGTTCGTTTAGGTGTCAATGTATACGCTTTTACAATAAAATTCCTAGCGATATTCAAAATTTGAGCCTCAATAAATTTAAAAGTGTAATAAAGGCTAAACTTTGCTGTAAAGCATTTTATAAAATAAAAGACTACTTAGAGGATAGTCAGGCTTGGGAATGAGCCGCTGTAATGTCTGCACAGGTCATGTTGACATGTTTGTAACATAAGTTACACTTTTATATACAATTTGACATTACGTTTATTTTTTTTTTTATACAATGACATGATCACATAGTGTGACATTTTTATTTTTTATTTGACATTTTTTTTATTTATTTGTTGACATTTTTATTATTTTATATTATTGTTAGTGTAAGGACCGTGTGAGACTTGTCGTGCTTTTTTATCACCAGTCATCTGCGTTCTGACAGTTTGAGTACTTGCGCGACCCACCCAAATGTTCTTTTGATCGGTATTGTTCGTCGGACAACTCAACAGCTATATGGTTGCAAACTGACACTTGCGTGCCTGTCTTCAGAACGGGTCCACTTAAACTGGTGTGGTTCTTTCCTCAAAAGACCACTACAGAATGAACTTGCACGGTTCTCTCACATTATGTTATTTTATATTGTCTGGACTTGAAAAGAGACTGACCTCTGAGTTTGTTTCGGCATTTCTTCTCAGAGTAGTCAGATAGGAAATGCCGGCTTCATCTAGTTTTTCACATATAATTTGACGTGTAAAAGTGCCGTTTTAAGGCCTATTTGCAAAAATAAATTCATTGTTTCATTGTTTCATTGTTTCATCACGCGTCTTTAAGAGCCATCAGATCACTATGTTGATGAAGGCCTAGAGCTTTTTGGCGATATCGCTTTAATGAGTAGACATGCTCCATTCGTAGATAGCATCATTGCTTGTCAATAGGGGAGATAGTGTCCGCCACACCACCGATACTAATATTATAAACAGGTAAAATCTAAGGAACCGCTGCCTGGTAGGGTTTCTTCTTTCACTAATTGATAGCTCTACAATATTTCCGAGCTATAGGCTATAAAACATCACGATATAATCAAATGGAGCCGAGGAGCGAGTGAAACCGCCGCCGAAAGCTAATTGCATAAAAAAGAGCTATATGGTCCTGTCAGGTACAGTCAGCTCCAAAAGTCGATGAACAGAATCAACTTTCCAAAACACCTGTTCACAATAAAATGCCAAAAGTTATAGTCACAACTAGGAAACAATATAGCCTGTACATCAGAAATTTACAAAAGTCGTTAAACACGACTAATTCAAAAGTATCTGTGCACTATAGTATTCCTAAAGTCGCTGAACATCATTGTATCAAAAGTCAGTAAACAGCAGAAAAGTCAAAATTAGGTTAACAAAGTATATTTTAATGTTGCCCTGTGTTAATATAATTTTGACGCTTATGTTGTTCAGCTACTTTTGGGACAGTGCTCGCTAGACCTTAATATAATGTATTTTAACACGTAAGTATCCATTTCAATACTTATTTACACATCAATTATATTTTTAACCGACTTCAAAAAAGGAGTAAGTGCTCAATTCGGTGCGTATTTTTTTTATGTATGTACACCGATTGAAACGAGGACGACTGGACCGATTTGCAAAATTCTTTTTTATTTGATAGGGTTTACCTGCCATTTGGTCCCATTACATGAGGTCAGAATCTGATGATGGAATTCTGGAGAAATCGAGGGGAACTTTCAATAATTGCAGGGGCGAGTAGTTCTTTAGTAGAGTAGTCTTTTACAACACTATAACTTGACGAAGGTCGAAGTCGACCTGATGTTGGAGCTGGAAGACAGTCGAGGGATCTCCTTGACTATTTGGAGTAGTTGCCTTGTGTGTTGTGTTTGAGCTTGAATGATTCGTATTGGCACTTTGCACCAGGCTTGTTCGTAACTGTCATTAAGGGTCTGATGATGAGAACGAAGGACAGGGAACTCCTGAACGGATTATAGTAACTACTTCGTGTTTGAACTTAATTCATATTGTCAGTAATCATACTAATATATAATATGAAATAACATAAACATCACTCTAACAATCTACGAAGTAGACAACTTTGTACACAGATTTATTTTTTATGTTTGTGTTTACTTTTTGAAGTCGTTTGTTTTTTTTTCATTTAGGTAAATAGAAAATAATAATAATAACTATTTTTATAATCTCGCAGTATGTGCCAAGTAAATGCTACATACCAAACAACAACAGTATTAGAACCGTGTATTGATCGGTACCTAGTAATCATCATTGTTTTACTTGGTACCTGGCACTTATTAGGCACAACATGTATTACTTTGCACACAGAAAATTAATTTTTTTGTTAAAAATTATTTTATTTCACTATTTTAAGTGATATGCAGAGCAAGCAAGGATAATGCGTTTCGGATGAGAAGACGACGGCTACTTGAGACCGAAAATCACGGTAATAGTAGTAGTCCTTAGTGTTCAGTTCTGTAAATTGTTGAGGAATGCCCTCGACTGTCAATGGTCTCCATCATTATGTATACTGTAGACCTTCAACATAGTTACATAATCTATATAGGTGCAAAGTGCTCACCAATGCGAATCATTCCAGCCCAAACACAAAATAATTACTCCAAATAGTCAAAGAGATCCCTCTACGGTCTTCCGGCTCCATCATCAGATTTACTGCATAACTTCATTGTAACTCATGTAGGTGCGAAGTTTTTATTGATATAAATGAATTAATTCCAAACACGAGGTAGTTACTGGAAACCGTTCAGGCGTTCCCTGAGCTGTCCTTCGTTGTCATCATCAGACCCCTAATGACAGTCACTACCAGTCTTGGTGCAAAGTGCTCACCAAGAAGAATTGTTCAAGCCCAAACACAAGGCAATTACTCCAAATAGTCAAGGAAATTCCTCGACTGTCTTTCGGTTTCATCATCATCAGGTCGAGTTCAACCATCGACAAGTTGACGTAAATACCTGAATAACTTCAGAAAATATACGAATCATGCCGACTGTCCCTATAAAATTTTAAATTTCCACTCGATTTTTCTGGGTTTCCATCATCAGATCTTGACCTGGTGAACATGAGACAAACTGGAAATCATACCCTACTGAACAAAAAAAAAATCCAAATCGGTCCAGGAGCCTTAAATAATCGGATAACATCAAAAAAAAAAAAAATCCCGACGAATTGAGAACCTCCACCTTTTTTTAAAGTCGGTTAAAAATATTATTAATTTTTAAATAAGTATTGAAAAAGATACTAACGTGTTAATATACATTATTAAGTTACACTGTCCCAAAAGTAGCTGAACAACATAAGCGTCAAAATTATATTACCACAGTGCAACATAAAAAATATACTTTGTTAACCTAATTTTGACTTTTCTGCTGTTTACTGACTTTTGATACAATGATGTTCAGCGACATTTGGATTGATGGCGTACAGCGACTTTAGGACTACTATAGTGCACAGATACTTTTGAATTAGTCGTGTTTAACGACTTTTGTAAATTTCTGATGTACAGGCTATTTTGTTTCCTAGTTGTGACTATAACTTTTGGCATTTTATTGTGAACAGGTGTTTTGGAAAGTTGATTCTGTTCATCGACTTTTGGAGCTGACTGTACTTTCCAACGGAGAAATATTGGATCACGCCTGTATTACAAGTATGGATGTTTTGTAGCTATTATGATAACAAATTACGACAATTTTGTTTTAGACTTTATGCATGCGAAGTGGGATCCACATGGGGCCTTGTGTCGCTGGTATTGTGGGAAGTAAAATGCCTCGTTACTGTTTATTTGGTGACACGATTAACACTGCAAGTAGAATGGAGAGCACTGGGGAACGTAAGTAACTATGCTTTAGGAATTATGACTATGATCCCCCATCTGGGCTTGAAACTAGTCGAGTTATTTCGTTAAATAGTTACGAGAGTAAGCCTTTAAAAGAAGTCTCTCTCTATAATCACTTTTTTTAAGTCTATCCTTCGAAATTTTGACTTTGAATTCTGCTCCAAACAACTTTTTTGTGTTCGTTGAATAAGTGCAAAAAAATTAACTAAAAAGTGTGAGACATTTTTTTGCTTGTTGTTTTCAGCGATGAAGATTCAAATATCGGATGATGTGAAAAAGGCTCTAGATAAAACAGGACTTTTCCTAACGGCTCCTCGGGGCGTGGTTGATGTCAAGGTAAAATCATACTATTAAAAAGTAAAAAAAAAAATAAGTGTGGGAGAGCCATGCTTCGGCACGAATGGGTCGGCTCGACCGGAGCGATACCACAGCCTCACAGAAAACCGGCGTGAAACAACAAAAGCGTTATGTTTCGCTGTGTGAGTGATCTAAAAAAAGATATATATATTCTCGGTTATCTGTCATGCGATTCAAAACAAGGGGAAAATGGATATGATTGGAACACAACAAAGTAGATTATAATTATTACTTATAATGGTAAATTTGTTTTCTTTCTTCAGGGCAAAGGCGAAATGTCCACCCATTGGCTGGAAGGCAGGATTGGACCTTCTCCAGAGCGGCCAACGACTACATCTCTGGACTGCACACCAAGCTTCTTAGCCAGGATCCATTCTCAAAGATCTCCCAGATACCAATCTGGAAAACCGAGGATACAATAAAATAGAATATACTTAATATATATTTTTGTAACTAACGTCGGCAATGGTTATAACTGCTGGGCGAAGAATTTGGATTTTCTAGACGGTTATGTTTTCTTACAGTTCAGATGAGTAGACGAGTCACCTGATGTTAAGCAATGAGAGTTGCCATTGGTCTTCGCAACAATATAGGTGTTAGATACCGGTCTTTATAAGGTTGTAAGGAGTATGAGAGAAAAGATTGGGCCGCCGTATATTTGATTATATATTTTGAAACTAGTTTTATAAGTACAGAGCTTTGTATATATATTATGTGTACTAGCGACCCGCCCCGGCTTCGCACGGATGCAATTGGGTAGTTTCCAAGGTCAAAAATAAATTAGTTCGATGTTTCAATACAATAAAATATTGAAATATAACTATACTTTTATTCATCGATCGATCGATACACTAAGTTTCAGATTTTTTTAGCTAATTAATAAGAAATAAGTAAGCTTTTTGACGCAAAAATGTTATGACGTCATAACTCAGTTTTTCTTCTCTTACAAACGTTTCTCTTTATTTTTTAAATATTTAAGTATAAATATGGATATAGGAACATAGAAAGCGACTTTGTTTTACACTATATAGTGATCAGTATGAACTAATAAAGTTTATCGGGAACATTAATGAAGATGGTATAACAGATATTTAATGTGCTAAAATACTCAAAATCGACCTTATTGTCACTTTCTTTTGTTTTAATTTTGTTGGCACCATTTTGATGGGTTATTATCAATTAGTAATCAATTTCTTATTAAGTGGTTGTATGTATAAAGCAGTGTGACTGTATATATGTTAGTGTGTCGTGTAGTTTAAATGGCTGGTTTGATTTCGACAGTGTACGGAGTCTATGACAAAATACTAATATACCTAATTGGGGTGACGAATAATATGTGTTGGCCGTCTATTAATTAATTAAAAGAAATTAGACATGTACTATAAAAAAAATATAGTTAAATCTTTTTTTTAATAAATTTTAAATTTTATCGACTTACTGACGCGCTTATTGAGCGAAATAACTCGTCTTTTTTCAACCCACATTAGGGGCTATGATTATATGTAGAATTGTGCGATAGTTGCGTCAGTCAGCCGGAAAACATAACATTTATACAAATAATAGATCGTCTAACCAGCACACGATTACCTGATGGTAAGCCATAAGCGTCGCTCATAGACACCCGCAATACCAAAGCAGTTACGTATGCGTTACCGGCCTGTTGGAGATTAGGGTTCCGGATATTTAGGGATAGAGGAGGGATAAGGGGAGAGAGAGTTTAAGGCCTTGTAGGATTTTTGTTAAAATAAATATGTCTTAGTAATAGTTTTTCATTATATTAATTGCAGAATTATTAGACTATTAATTGTCATGCTCGGTTGATATCATTATCCTAACTCCTTTCATTCAAATTTGCTGTTTGCTCCATCTTGAGTATCTATTGAAATTGGCACAGGCTCTAAGAATGAGTAAGACATTAAAAGTAATTTTAAGTAAGAGTAATATTTTAAACTATTTCATTGTAAATTGTATGTATGTATGTATATTTTGTACGTAAATAAATGTCAAAATTAACAGTGTTTTTATTTTATGCTAACTTTGTTTAATAGGATTTTAGTTTGGTTGATTTATGATTTTTAATGATCGGTCAGTGAGTGACAAAATAAGTAACTTTGATCGCTCATAACTCTTTAACTTTTGGTTCAAATTTCATGTAATTTTAAAACTGAGCTTGTTTTAAAACTTACTCTATGTCACCGAAATTTAAATCTAAATTATCGTCCATGTCGATGATACAGGAGTGAAATAGCCGCAGAACACTTTAAGAAAAGGATAGTACGGCCGTTCCCCTTTTGCTCAAAACTAGTCTTACTAGGGACATGCGGCCATATTACAAAACAAGTGTTTTTTAGTCTAAGTCTAAACCATTGAGCTAGATTTTGTATTTCAAATTTAAGGTACGTGAGAATAAGATTCAAAATACAAAATCTGACTCAATGGTTTAAATCTAGACTAAAGATAAATCTTGTTTTGTAATAAGGGGGATGTAGTTCTGTGTTACATACCCCTCATTAGTGGTTTTATCGTCATTGCCTCATTACGACCTTCGGACATCCCGGCGTACAGCAAATATCCACCCTTACGTTGTTGAGACACCTGTGGCCCGGACTAAGCGTTTTGCCTCGTCATTTATACCGCGTACATTGAGGGATTGGAACAGTTTGCCGGCTGCAGTCTTTCCGTTCAAATATAATTTAGGTGTCTTCAAGGCTAGAGTGAATAGGCTCTTAATAAACTAGTGCGCCTTACCATCAACGATTGCATCACTGCTTACCACCAGATGGGGTCGCAGATCGCTAGTTTATTGCAAGTAAAAAAAAACGATCAAACGGAGCCGAGCAGAGGTTGAAACCGCGCGAGAATACGTAGCAGGAATATATAATAATAAATTGTATAATATTTACGACGTACAATCATTACGGTCGATTACATAGCGTTGTACCAGTCAATAGTTTATCAATGGAATGAGTCACATGTGTATTGTGTTTAAGGAGGATCGCTATAATGCGGATATAGCTTGAACGGAAACACCGCAAAGGAAGCATGATGAGTCCACAAATCATTTAGGGATAATTAGTTCCGATTCACAGAACTCAAATTTTGGCAACAAAGAGTAAAAGATAAGAATTAAATCGGAAAGAGAGGAGGAGAAAACAGAGAAGGAGAAAGAAGAAAAGATTTTTCTTTGGGAGAGGAAGATATTGATAATAAGAGCTCACTAATTACGTGATGACGAGCAAATGGCGCCGTTTTTGGACATTCTTAACATGAGAGTTTGTTACAAGTGCATTGCAGGCCTGTTGTTTAGGATTTGAGGGATGGTGTTAGAGGATGGAAGGTTCGGGCTTCTGATAGCCTCAAGATACAGGACACAAGCATAGTTTCATGGAACTGGTTAATGGCGTCTAGACGAAAACGAAGCAAGGCTCTCCCAAAAAAAGATGTATATTCTAATAAACCAATAAAGGGTCAATTCACACAGAGATGATATGCGACGCAAGATACATCGCGTGAAGTGCGCCTTTTAGGAGTATAAAATATTTTGTTGTTACTTTGAATAAATATTAATGTTACACTGTTCTCGCTATAGGAACTTCTTTAATAATGTAACAAAAACCTGTGTGGGAAAAATAGTACTATATAGTGTCCCTTGCTCGTTTTTTTGGAACTTACAGTTTGTAAATAGCTTCACTAAAACAGACCGAACGACTGGCACTTTTTAAGTTTCGTTTGTAGTTTAAAAGTGCCTAAAAGAATCTAATAATTGAAATAAATATTTAGTGTGGGAGAGCCAGCTTCGACACGAATGGGTCACGTGGAAACCACTGCTTATGTTTCGCCGTGTGAGTGAGGTTACCGGAGGCCCAATCTTTCTCCTCTCCAATCCCTAAATTCCCAAAACCCTAATCCCCAAACGGTCGGCAACCCACTGGTTACTCTTCCGTTATTGCGGGTGTCCATGGGCGGCGCTGATCACCAGCAGATAGCCCGTCTGCTCGTTTGCCGACGTATCACATATAAAAATAATGTTTTATTTACTGTTCTATGTCTTTGCGCAGCGTCGCTTCGCTTCGCATCTAGATGTGAGCTGAACTTAACAGGACAATGCAACTAATTATGTTTTAGAATTCGTGTCATCATTCCCTAATTGACATAGGTCTTCCATATTAGTTCTTGCATTGTATTATAAATATTTTAAGCTGCAACCGAAACCATGTAGTCTTTCTCAGACAACTGCACTGAACGCAATACACAATGTCGACGACCGCAGTTCTCGCGATTTTCCTATCACTACTCATTTACAGTGCTCTTGCTATGCCTGTAATAGAAAAAAAAGCGTTTTATACGAAAATTAAAGAAGATTCCGATAATTCAATTTTAAGTTCTAAAAGCGGTTTTAAGGAAAGTGATACTGTGATGCCTGTTCAGAGTGAAAGCAAAGTTTCAGAATATATTGGAAGAGTTAAGAGAAATGTTATTTTGAACGTTTCCCTTTGTCCTTCGGATATGATTGAGTTTCAAGAACAGTGTTTGACTCCGGAACAGTAAGTTTTTATTTTGTTATACATTCATAAATATATTTACATCAATCGTTACCGTTTGGAATTTTTTTTATGTGATTGGTCAGCAAACGAGCAGACAGATTACCTGATGATAATAATATGCAATCGGCACAGCCCAGAGGAACTAGGAGTGCGTTGTCAGCCCTTTGGGGATTAGGGTTTCGGAGATTTCGGGATTGGAGGTGGGGAAGACGAAACACAACATTGTGGTTATTTCACGCCGATTTTTTGTGACGACGTGGTATCACTTCGGTCGAGCCGACCCATTCGTGCCGAAGCATGACTCTCCCACACTTGAACTTATGTCAAAAGAAAAGATCTATTCTCTTAGTGAAAATATTGTTTGGAGTATTTAAATAATTAAGTAATACTTGTAAGTGTTATGTGACATTACCTATTTAATCTGTTGTTTTCTATTACTAAATTAATATATTTAGTTTTATTTTTCAACAATTTTTAGATAAGAGTGCCCAATGAATATTTTTTCTTTCTTGTGAAAATCAATTTAATTAGGAACATACTTAATTTGTGGACAATAGGATTACAAAGGTGATAAGTATACATTTATGTGGAGCTTTATGTCCTACCAGTGATAACGGTGTACGAATATGTTTATAATATTATTATTTTGGTAACAATACAGTAAAGTAAATTAAAAAGGCTTTTGTAACTGTGAATCTATGCAATACCAAATCAATTTCAGAGTTTTATAATTATTTGTTCTTTACAGATACAAAATGGTGGAAGACTTTGCCGACTCCATCGAAATTATGTAACCCGATCGAACCTACCCGACCCGACCTGAAGATAAGCAACAACGAAAAATCCGAAACCGAAAAGAACGAATCAACAAACGATCC